TATTCTTGTTTTAAATTGAATTGCAAATCTATAGATTAACTATTTGATTAGCAGTCCTGGTCACAATGAAGACCATAATTACTCTGTCGTTTGAAGTGCGCAATTAATTTGATTGACCATTTTTACAGGGGGATTCATAGCGGATCGTAGCGGGTAATCATGTTGATGGTGATCGCTGGAGAGACTTGATGTCGGGGAATGTGTCATTAGGCTCCGTCCTCACGGGAGATCGTGACTAGCAGCTCATATTCGTGTGATTGGATTAGACAATCACCACGTGCCTCGTTTCACACATCCGTGACATCGTTGTTTTAACTACATCGTGTTTCAATTTCAGGATATTCTCGAGAACGAGGTCATCAAATTGGACTGGATGTTCAGATATTCTCTTATGCTTGACGTGTGCAAGGTAAATTTCATAATATCATCAGTATTGGTATTTCAATCGTATCAGATGGTCAATCACGTGATCTAAGCCGTGGAATAAGACGGTTCATACATGTTTCATTTGGTTTCACATATTTGATGATCATTGTTTTTTTTTAAATTATTGTCTAAAAAAGAAGCCATTCGCAATTAACAATACTTACCATTAGTTCCCCTCTAAAAGTATGAATATAAAACAAAACACAGTTGGAAAAACAATAATTTGTAAACAAAATATTATATAACAGCTGCTGCATTTCCTACCGCCATTCTGACAGGAGGTAACAGTGACGTAATACACTCACTTCGTAGCAAAGCCACTTCTTTCCAAATATCCCCATACCACACGCCCACTTACTTCACCCAAATGGTCACTTCGCACTACAGTCATTTCGCACCACACAATAACTTCGCACCACGCAGTCGCTTCATCCAAGTCATTTCTTACCACCCAGTCACATGGCACCACGCGATCACTCCGTACGGAACTGATTAATAACGATTAAAAATGCATAAATTACCAATCAGCTGCCCGGGAGTATGCTTTTAATTACACATACACTCCTTATTTAATAATAAAAAATAATTCAAACCTAAGTTTCTGTTATTTTTTAAATGTTTTACGTAATTTAAATTAAACACGTTAGTGCGTAATAGTGTCAGATTTTTAAAATACGCTGTCAAATATTCGTGAAGACACCCCTTGTATCACAATGCAAAATACCCAATGTTTATTAATTATTTTGAAGTGTATGTTACATATTTACAAAATGTTATTCTGAATAAGAAATAGTGTGCACATGTCATACAAAGTGATATGGGACGTAGTGATTGTATAGTACGATGTGGCTTGCCAGGTTTTAACTGGGGTCACAATGACAGTGCAAATATTTTACGATTTCACTGAGCAACTTATTAGGTGAACACTTGGATACTGGTTTGCCGATTTTAAAGATATGAATTAGTTTTCGTTATATGGCAAGTGAATCCTGCACAACCTGGATAATAGAACGATTATAAAAGAACTGGTAACGTGATTAAAACCGTGAAACAAAAATGAGTTCTTTTAAAGATACTGAATACTGTATTAGCAGATATAGTCTTTAGTGTCTCCGCGTGAATACAGCCAAATAATCGACCCAATTCCCCGAGTTACGTAATGCTTCATTAAGTTGATTACGCTCCAGGCAATCCAATCAAGTACGTGTAATGTACAATTATTGCTTTAAATTCAACCAGTTTCAAGAAAATCGAGTATATCAGCACGTGCTATTTTCTATTTAATTTCCAGGGATTAGAATATCTTCAAAACAGTTTTCTTCGTTGTCATGGTAACCTGAAATCGTCTAATTGTGTCGTTGACAGCCGATTTGTCCTTAAGCTCACGGACTTTGGTCTCAGTGAGCTACGCCCACCTGTTCCCACCTACACAGATACAGGCGGTGTCTTTGATAACATAGCGGACGAAGAAAAGGTATTTAAAAGTAAGTGTTCCACAACGTGGTATTTTTTGTTTAGCTATTAGTATCGCTCATATGTCATTTCTAATATTATTGGGCTGGTTGTTTTTTTTAAAAGAGAAAACATGAAAACAAAATGTGAGGAATAATTTGGCGTTGAGGGCGCTATGGTCATTTTAAAAACGTGGTACATAGCGACAACTTGTTTGTTTCATTAAAACAGGTATGCTTTGGAAGGCCCCGGAGATTTTAAGAGGAAGCGTCCTTTCAAGCGGAAATCAGAAGGCCGATATTTACGCATTTTCTATCATTATGCAAGAGATTGCAATACGTTGTGGACCCTTCTACACGGATGAATACAACCTAACGCCAGCAGGTGAGTCGGTTTTGCTAACACTGTTCTGATGAATTAGTGCGCGGTTGCGATAAGAACAACCTACAAGGCTATTCAAACTGACGTCATCGTTGTATTGACTGTCGTATTGCTTTGTATGTGTTGTTTCTATAATGTTAACAGCGTTTAGTTGTGTCAGAAAAAGACTTCGTATGCGACATTGAATGTCTACAACTTCATTATGGTTGAAAGGCAAAACAGAAGGTAATGTCTTCACTCATGCCAGGATGAAATAAACAAGGCGTGCATGTCAGTACAATAACACATGTGCAATACCTCTTATTACAGAAATGATTGAGAACGTGAGATCTGTGCATTCTCCTCCATTTCGACCGTTAGTAGGGGGGCTCGACTGTCCGAAAGAACTCGAGGGACTGATGACACGGTGCTGGGCAGAGGACCCAAGTGAAAGACCAGATATATCGCATATTAAAGGCATAGTACGAAAACTCAACCCCGCAACGTAAGTCTCTCATATGTTATCGATGTTGAACACATTTGATTGGCGCGTATTGCTGATCATGTGACATATATTTGTTTGTCGCTGGACGATTTTTTTCCGATCTCGTCAATCATATTTATTTTGTATTACTTTTTCCCACTTTTGTTCTTGTAAGATTTGTTTGCTTCTGTGTGTTCGTTGTGCAAAATTATCAACGTATATATTACATGGCACAACTGACTTTCCCATATTGTATTGAGCGGTAAAGTCGGGTAATATTGCCTGAGTCTGTGCACTCAAAAAAAATATCTTAAGATAATAAAACGATCGGCGAATTGCTAATTTATTTGAGGTTATCTAGTGATGTCATCTTTGCCTAGTTACAGTGTAACCGTCAAATCATGACAAGTGGTTCATTCTTATAATCACACGTATATGACGTAATGTGGCATGGCTAAATATAGCATGCGAAACTAGTGTTTTAAAACGCATGTATTTCTAATCCAGTGATGGTCTAGGGAAAGATAGCATGGATCAAAAAATGTTTCTATCAGCGGAAGTGATGTTCGACTACTAATCACCGGTTTAATTATTGCATATATCGTTCAGACGGCGTAGCCAGTGACTATATAATAATTATGATCTGCGGGAAATAGATAATTAAATCATATTTACATAATAACAAGGAAATTTAGATAAATATACAAAATGTAGGATCAACATTTTTATCGGGAAATATTGTGGCTTCACAATAGCTATATTTGCTAACGTGCTGTTTACTAATTTACTCAATAGTATTCGTGTAACTTAGCAACCCAGTAAATGCGTAAAGTGTATTCTGAAACCTTGCATGTATCCATCTACCGCGGATGAGTAATGAACTAGTCGATCGGCGATTGCGATTTTGCGCAGAGGACGTGTGTTTGTGTACATTAATGCATGTGATATTGCATCAGGGTATTCCTTCGGGAACTCTATGATGTTCATTTATAACGACTGCTTGGAGTGTTTTTATCTAGAACATAATGACGTATATAATTCCCGATATACCGTGTTACTTGTAGTAAAAAAGGTGACAATATACTGGACAATTTACTAGCCCGTATGGAACAATACGCTAACAATCTAGAAGGTTTGGTGGAAGAGAGAACATCACAGTATTTAGAGGAGAAGAAACGAGCTGAAGATTTGTTAGACAGACTTTTACCAAGGTAGATTTGTTGTTATGTTTTTTTCTGTAAAAGTAAGAAAAAATATTCCACTCGAAAACATCGTGTGTGCACACAACATATATGTCTGTAAGTTATTCTATTTCGATGCAGTGCGAATGACTGTCGGTCACTTTGTTCTTGTACATACTACTGTTACCTTAGTTGTTGTTGCCCATTTAACTGCATGCCGATGGATGTGTAGATTATTATCATTAGAGATACTTTGAATACTGGTCTTTATTTCATTGCGTTAGTAAAATGAATAAATAAAACAATTTAACAGAGAGTTGCGCAAAGTTATGTTTTTCCGACTAAGGCTTGACTGACAATAATATAATGTTGACAGTGGACGTAAGATAAACACGCACTGTTTGCGACAGCAAGCACCCGTTATGTTACAATCGTCAACAACAGATAAACATTATGCAAATATCCACAAAACTACAGTTGCAGTTATTTGTGTTAGCATTTAAGATACTAATTGGAGCAGCGTGTTTCCAAAATGTTGATCTTTTGAAAAAATTGGATGATTTATCACGGTGTAAAGTAACCGTTTTATCAATTTTTGAAAAATCTAGAAAAAAAAATTCCCTTCTCGCTACCTAAAGACAGATTCACGGTTTAATGAACAAGAGACAATGTGTCTTCATTGAATAATTAAACATGTAACAAGTTGTCAAACAATCCGGCAGTAGTTACTAATACAGCTGTAGTACACATCCTTTCCATAACTTTCTCGTTTCGTTGACTGCAGCTGTACTGATATTGAACACATATGCATTCATACTTACGATAGTAACGTGTGCGTTGTTTTTATCTCCATGACAGATCTGTCTCCAGTCAGCTAAAACAAGGCATGAATGTGCAAGCAGAGTGGTTTGATGAAGTAACGATATATTTTAGTGACATTGTAGGTTTTACTGCATTATCGGCATGCAGTACCCCCATACAGGTAATATTTATAGAAGTAATTATTACCATCCAAGCCTCGTGCGTCTTCGTGAACAAAGACCTAATTACGGCAACTGATACATTCAATTCAAAACCTATTTATTTAATTCAATTTTATTTCACAGCAAGATAAACAGGAAAACAGCTGTGAAGTACTTAAAATATACACCATAAAAGAACACATGGCTACAACATTATTAGAACGCTATAATACACTCGAGTTAAAATAAGTTAACAATTCAGACTTCCTGATAGAACTGTCATCATATGACAAATCAATAACCGTGTAAAATAATAAGACTATCCTCTTGTCAAATGAAAGTGCAATGTTGAAAATCCTGTAGTTATCAGTGCGCCTAAAAAGCTAGGTTTTTTGTTACGTAGATACCAAGATCTTTGGTGACAGTAACTCGCTGTAAAGCCGAGTCTTTGAATGAGTAATTATCACGAGTAATAAAATAGTTACATCGATTTTGTTTGTATTGTCATATTTACCAATTTGCGCCTGGTATTTGTTTTTCTCGTATATACGAAATAGCATCGAAGTTGTTGCGCTTGTACGTCGCTATGCATTATGGGTAATATATTTGGGGATGTCGAATAATGCCGATGACGCATATAGTTGTTCATTAGTGTGAGGGTAGACGGCAAGAATAAATGTACCATACCTACACAAGGCCTGTGATGAACGAACCACCTCTAGTTACAACATTCTTTCAGTGAACGTGACCAAAAACAATGGACCAGCGTCTCCACTGTGAATGGTTTCGGGGGCTTGAAGGGGAGCACAATCGACTTGTATGTGGTTGGACATTATGTATCACAGTTTTATATGCACTGTGTATTAACGTTTCAGATGATTGTGATTTAATTCACAATTCAATACGACTTAACAATATACATTCCAAATTTATAGACATAAATGACTTATACGAAGTGAATAAACCTAGCTTCGAGTCCAAATCCCATCGGTTCGTGTGCGGATTATTATCACATTTGGATTTATTACTTCTCATATGAAAATTGGTGCTTACAAGTCTTAGTAGGGGATTTGGATTATAACACGATCTAAATCCAACGTTAAGCCTATAAACGTTCCATTGGTTTTAGTGCCAAACCCCTTTGTTAAGTACAACAACAAATATTTCGTTGGTGTTTGTGAGCTCTTGTGTGATTGGTCAATGCATGGACAGCTCTTCCACTTCCGTGTTTTACTCCCTATCAATTTGGGCCATGTTTAACCGTAGACAGTATAGTAGTATAGTAACACCAATGTCAAACGCCGTATGCCCAACGTAAGCTGGGCTGGAATATTATGATGAGCAAGTAAACAATGACGTCATATTTACTTCGATGCGATGTCACTACTTTCGTATCGAACTACAAGTATCTTTCCGCAATACGCATCTTCCGAACACACAATAGCTATCAAATGTTCTCGTGAACGTGGTTCACTAGTTAACAAATGTGACTTTTAATATATATGTTCCTGTTTAATTAAATAAAATTAAAAGTTAGTTTCAGAC